GACTGTCCACGTGAGTCGTCTCAAGCCCTATCACGACCCACTCCTACTTTCATCACCTTGATTTGCCAGGATGGCTCGTCTTCGTCGCCGGGGTATTGTAGAGAGGAAGAAGAGTATGTGCCGCAGTGGGTCACGCCTTTAGCGAGAGGAGCCAAGCGCGAGCGTTTTTCCCCGAGGGCTGTGATTCCTGAGTCCGTTGCTGCCGCCCGCGTTCTTCATCAATAGACCTGCTGTGCAAGTACTACTTGTGCCAATAAACCCCGTTTCACTAGCAAAGTTGTCGAGGTCTCGGAGCAAGTGGAATTCATCGAAAAAAATTGTAGTCGGGCGGAAGCTTAGTCCTTTAGATAGCAGTTTTTCTTCATCAGGTGACAAACTCGTGTCCGATAAGTTTACAATCACAGTGTCACAGGGTGTGTTCACAGATGAGTTCTCGTTTGTACCGTTAATGGTTTCCTGGGTGGTGGTGTTGTAGTGACAAGGAACTATCTCAGGAAACGCGGGGCTGGGCACATGGTCTCTTTTGAGTTTATGAATTTTTGTGGTCATGATGGCTTGGTATTTATTCAGTTCAAATTCTGTTAACTGGGTGATTTCTTCGTTCGATAAAGTGTCGTGGCGGAGAATGGTGTTGGCCTAAGCGACCAGTTTCTTTACCTGCTTATCACTGGGATTGAGAGCGATTTCTGTTAATTTAGGAGATGCCTTAAGGAGGGCATTTTTTCATGTTATTTGGTCGTGTTCGTCTAGGTTTGTAGCGGCTGGTGTGATGGACAGTGTCATACTCTTGGGGGCTATTCTAGCATGAAGGTACACTTGCAATGTTGCTTTATACATTTCATGTCTAATACGTTTGTCAGCAAGTTTTCATACTTCAAGGAAGGTGGCACTGCAACTGAGAAGCGATGAGCTGGACTTACATTTCAGAGGTCAATCTTCTTTTGGGTGCGCGGGTGGCACTGATGAAGTCCGCAGATTGTAGTTATGTCGGGCAGGCCTTCGCGTTGTAGGGAGGATTTCGGCGTTGGGCTCCCGGCGAACGTGTTCGTAGGCAGTTCCGGGGTCCGCAACAGGGGAACGCGGTTTCGTAGTTCGGCAGGCTTCCCTTTGAGGAGTGGTGTAGTGGTGCTGTCGTGTAGTGCTTTTGGTCTCGACATCCGCAATGGAGGGACGCGTGTTGGCTGGTGGTGGTAGTGGTTCATGTGGAAAAGGAAGAAGGCACCTTTTCCACATGAACCACTACCACCACCAGCCAACACGCGTCCCTCCATTGCGGATGTCGAGACCAAAAGCACTACACGACAGCACCACTACACCACTCCTCAAAGAGAAGCCTGCCGAACTACGAAACCGCGTTCCCCTGTTGCGGACCCCGGAACTGCCTACGAACACGTTCGCCGGGAGCCCAACGCCAAAATCCTCCCTACAACGCGAAGGCCTGCCCGACATAACTACAATCTGCGGACTTCATCAGTGCCACCCGCGCACCCAAAAGAAGATTGACCTCTGAAATGTCCAACAGACTTCCCCCTATCAGTGGTGCGCTGTTGATGATGGTGAGGGGGGTGCTTGTGGCTCGCGGGGGTCACAGTTTCGCCGATTGTCGAGAACTCGTCTGTGATGTGTGGCAGCTTCGGCTAGTTGGTGTGGCATGACGATAGTTATAGCGCGAGAACAAAACGACGACACATTTCGTGTCCTTCTTGTCTCTGTGTCGTCGTTTTGTTCTCGCGCTATAACTATCGTCTGTGATGTTGGGTGGGTGTGGGGCTCCTGGAATATGTTGATATGCAGAGTTCTTGTCGTTCACACGAACCACACGAAGTTCAATCCCACTTTAACAGGCTGAGGAATGGCGTCCTTAGCCTCATTTCTGCGTCAAATATGCGACGATCGTATTGCTACCATGCCTCTTTTTCTGAATAAGCTTTTGCAGTTAACATCTACAGGTACCACAATAGCTGTTTAATAAATTTATCATGGATGTTAGTCATAGGGATGGAGACGTACTAAGCGCCGATACGAGCATACATCCACGTTAAACGGAGCTATAGCTGCCAAACACCGAAACGTATACATTCGGCAAACCCTTGATCCTTTATCAATGTAAAGTAAACATTTATTTACCCCTGTAAAGGCGTGTTTTACTTTCGTGTTATATGCCAATTCCTCTGACGGAGGCATCAACGATGTTTTTTTTTCAAGGAATGATTGCTGGTATATTTTTTCTTAGTAAGTATTACACTTTCTAGCATATATTCAGGTATAAGTGTATTATAATTTGTCTTGATGGCTAATAGTCTGAAGACTGTATCTCGAGCATGCAATTAATAATAATGTTGCTGTTGTTATGTTCCTGTTATTAACTTATTATCAACTTCTCAACCCTTTTTTAATGTTTGATTTGTGGTGTTATGGGCGTGGTATATTGTTTACAGTCATCATATTTGTATTAAAAATTATTAACGGGCCACCTGTAAAAATACGCCCCTACAAAAGGTGTAAACAAAATTGTCTTTTGAAGGAACTAAATATGGACGATTATAACGTTAAACTATCCCTCGTTGCTTCCTTTCGAAATGGTCGTTAGCTGTATATGATTGGTGTAAACAGTCTTTGTCATGCACACAGCACCAGCTTGTTACGCGAGGCAAAAAATGACGTTAAAATGACCCATCACCTAATGACCACTAATGCATGACCACGTAAATAATAAGAGAATGAACTATTTTAGATACAACCTATCGTTTGCCAATTGTTTTTTTTGGAATTTACAACTGTGTGCCACAAAATAGCCTGCTTGCTACATGACATCACGAAGCCGGAGAGCATCTCCTTCTAAATGTAATTCAAGTAGGCTAGCTGCCAATCACATAATCCGCGGCTGCATATAGCAGCTGGCGAGATGAATTATGAGTTTAATAAAGTATCTCCCCTTGCAGCATAACGGTGTTTAGTAGTTTGTGCGTATATACATCTTTGTGAGCTCATACTTGCTGAGAAAAGAGGAATAGAGAGAAATAAGCAGCACTGCTCGTGTGTGCTTCTTTGTTCTCCGAAATGTATTTTGAGCTCTAAAGGACAATTCAAGTTGAGTGAAAACCAACTAACGCGACTCTTGACTAAGTCTCCATAGTGCTAAAAACCACGGTATTTCACCTTATACCTGGTCCGGTGGGTCAAGTTGTGGGGCAAGATTAAAATCTGAGGTTCTTACTGAGTTCGAGTTCACTGCTTTATTCGTGGCCACTTTGCAAGCTGCCGCTATGGCTCCAAGTTACCATAAGCCAAGCTGATCAGGTTTATCATAGACTAAAGCGGAAGCAATTTTTGGCGTTTCAGTATGGAAAAAATTTAAACATCAAAATTGATTCGTAACACTCATCTCGCAAGAGCTTCGATAGAGCAGCGGTGATGGTATATCCTTTTCAAAGAAAATTATTTTCCGGAAGCATCAAATGCTTTGACCGGTCCATGAAAGGTTTGTTCCTTCTCATCCGTAACTGCATCACGAAGTCACAGCAGAATAAAAGCATGAACAGGTGATGTAATATTATAGACCCCTGCTCAGCGCTTGCCTGCTCTGTAACACTACAGCACAAGACGCTAAAGTGTCGCATAGGCGACCCGCACCTCAGAGAACCTACAAGGAAAATCATCACAACGGAAATGATGGCAAAATTCCACAATGTTGTAACATTGCCTCGTAACATTTCTTTTTCTCGCGTAAGAACATAATTAAGTGATTACTGTTGTGACGGAAAACTTCGCCTTACTTGTTAGTTTTCCCAGCATGCAGCCAAGAGTGACCACTGTCGAAAGAGGGGGGGGGGGGGGGGGGGGGGGGCTCGCGTTTTTTTTTGCCTTCACCCCCAGCTAATACGCTTATTCATATCATGATTATCAGGTTTGCACCAGTTATTTACATTCGTCATCTATTCACGTCACGTAATACCAAATTTAGTATATGTGAAGCTAGCGAAACGACCACGAGAGTACCATGAGTGTGGCACGTAGTCATGTTCTTACATGACACGCATGTCAAGATTTTCACGTGAGGGCCAGTCACTTATATTCGCAATGCAGTCATGTCATACCATACCAGTTTTGCGATATGTCATATGAACGAAACCACCGCAGGAGCAGCAAGACCATTACATGTAAATCATGACATTCCTGACATGCATGTCATAATTTTCATGTTATGACTTGTCAGTTATGATAGATAGATAGATAGATAGATAGATAGATAGATAGATAGATAGATAGATAGATAGATAGATAGATAGATAGATAGATAGATAGATAGATAGATAGATAGATAGATAGATATACGGTCAAACTCACCGAAGGTCGCTAAGAAATGCTTCACATTTAAAGTGTCACATAATCAGTTAACGACATCATGTCTCTGCTGCAAAGCTTAAAAATGTCAGGCCTGACCGGGCTGGACACAAGTTTTTGTTTTTGTACGTCGCGCCGAGCCGGGTGGGCTCGACGACTTCAAGCATCGGGCTCGGGTGGGCCTTTGACGCAATCATCGGGCCCGGGCCGGCCTCGGGCTCCAAAATTCGACCCATGCACTCCTGGCACAACGTAGCTCGCGCGTCGTGCCAGCGGCGGCAGCTTGTTTACGAAAAAAATCCCTAGATGGCAGCACCAAAACTCCATGTCACACAACTAGTGCAACCGCGAAGGGGATTTCCCTTCGAGAATGGACGCGTGAACTGTCCAGTCTTTTAACTTAATTTGATAATGTTGCTTGCGTAAAACATACATCTCAGCACTAGCTAATACAAATTTTGGAGTTAAACGTTTCACTGATATTGTAGCACCGAAGTGCAGTTCTAACGTTCTTTAGGGGAAAGATAAATTGCACGAGTATTATTCACGCGGATGGACCTCGCAAGCGGGGAGTCCCGCTGAATAGGCTTGCATCGCCCTCTCTGCTGCCGGCTGGTTGAGCGTTCTCGAACTCGGCCGCCTCGCGTGTAGTGACGGACGTTCTCTCCGGCGACAGTAACCCTTATTGAGGCGAAAGTAAGTCCATGCTCATGTTGTTTATTGATATTTGTCGACGTCATCTGTTGTTGTCACTGCATACGTAATTGCTGGTCTTTTTGAAATGTGAAAAATCTGAAATATTACCCGTTACGCTGAAATCTGGCGTGTGTCAGAATAATCTAATATCTTAATATAGGCAATCTTTTGTTTAACTACTAGCTTGCATGCTCAGTACGTCCACCAATAATTTAGGGCCGAAATAATAATAAAGAGGTGATAATAAACCAGCTGACCCACCGGCATTCTCATTACCTTTTAATGAAGCACCGCTGTGCGCATCATTATGTACATAGTTGTACCTGTTCATTTACCAGTACAAGCGGCACTTTCAAAGCATGATCGAAAGTAAAGCTTACCCGAAATCACAAAGCTTTCACAATTTGTTGAAGTTGAGCTAGCGTGCATGCACTTCATCGCCAGACACTCGCAACACGTGAACATGCTAGTTTGCTTTGAGCGTCGTCGACCCAGTACACTAAACGTTCGACTCAGGAACGTTTAGTGAGCTAAGCGTCATTGCAGTTGTGTAGTATGCGCCGACATTGTGCTCCTTCTCCGTTTGCCACGTAATGTAACGTCTATAGCTAGCGGCTGCCCAGCACGAAGAATAGATGACATGCACTGTGAAATACTTTGCTGTGAGCTCTAACAATGAGTATTTAACTATATTGACCCAGAGTTGCGTTTAAAAAGGTTAAACTGCATATTAGTGTTTTTGTTGTCGTTGCCTTTAAACCAGCCCGTTTTGTAACAGCCCTGTTTTATTTTATTTTTTTAGTTTTTGTCAACAGCTTGCGTGTTAGGAAAACAAATTCAACAGAGACAGTAGTTGACTATTAGCACTGCTCGCCCCTAGCTAATCGATACGAAACAGCATAATTCTACTGCACCGTTGGTCTGCGCCTTCCGTAACCATTCGTGCCCATACGGCTGCCTCGTATACTTGTTCTTGCATTACAATACGCTCAGTTTGTTCCTAGCCCAAATATTCACTTGCCTCGGCTTATATCACTCATGTGTTTGGAGTTTACATTACCGGCGTGCATTTATGCAGAAAAACAACCCATACGGTATTCTTGCAGTGTTTTTTTTAACACTTCACCTATACATCGCCGTAAAACATTACGTATAGGGGATGTACACGTAGATAATATCATTAATCTGTTTGCAATCGATACAATTAATACAACAAATACATCAATACACAAGATACTTTTAAGAGAAAAACACTCGAATAATGATGAACTACACACAGGCTACTCCACAATAGACCATATTCAAAATATCAATCAGATATACAGAAATGCGCGGAATCAAGCAGCCCCTATACATCGATTTCATATATTTCAGAGATTACGAGAAGGCGTTTGACTCAGTCGAGACATCAGCAGTAATGCAGGCACTAAGGGATCAGAACATTAACGAACTCTACATAATCATGCATACTGGAAGAAATCTTCTGTGGATACAAAGCCACCATAGTTATCCATAAAGAAAGCGAAGGAACTCCAATAAAGAAGGGTGTAAGGCAAGGAGACACGATCTCTTCAATCCTATTCACCCCGTGTTTACTGCAGGAGGTTTCCAGGGTCCTAGGTTGGAAAGAGTGAGGGATACGAGAGTATGAAGAGTATCTTAGTAACCTGCGATTTACTGATGACATTATCCTGATGATTAACTCAATGGATGAATTGCAGCTTATGATTGCTGAACTGGACACGGTAAGCAGAAGAGCACGTCTGAAAATTTCTATGCACAAAACCAAAGTAATGTGCAAGAGTCTAGGCAGAAAACAGCACTTTGCGATAAGTGGAAATACGCTGGAAGTTGTAAAAGAATATGTCTATACTTATAAGACAGGTAGTAACCGCGGAGCCGAAACATATAAGAGTGAAGTAACTAGAAGAGTAAGGACGGGATGGATCACATTTGGCAATCATTCTCAAATCATGAATGGTAATCTGCGACTAACCCACAAGAGGAAGGTATATAACAGCTGCATCTTGTCGGTATATTGAAAATGAACCTTAAGGCTCTATTTAAACCCGTTCACAGTCATCGATGTTATTTTGCGTATATGGCTTCCGTATACGTATACGTATACGGAACAGAAATCTGGAGGCTTACAAAGAGGGCTCAGCTTATATGAAGGACGACGCAGCGAGCGTTGGAAAGGAAAATTATAGGTGTAACCTTAAAAGACAAGAAAAGAGCTGAGTGGGTCAGGGTACAAACCGGCTTTAATGATATTATAGTTCAAATCAATAAGAAGAAATAGACATGGGCCGGGTACGTAGCACCACAGTCCTTCAATACATTTACAAAGCATTGAAGGGCTCTAGCACGTAGTCCGAATAACCGCTGCATGGTGATTAAGGGTAACTGACTGGATTCCCAGAGAAGCAAAATACACGAAGGGGATTGATTGATATGTGGGGTTTAACGTCCCAAAACCACCATATGATTATGAGAGACGTCGTAACGGAGGGCTCCAGAAATTTCCACCACCTGGGGTTCTTTAACGTGCACCCAAATCTGAGCACACGGGCCTAGAACATTTCCGCCTCCATCGGAAATACAGCCGCCACAGCCGAGATTCAATCCCGCGACCTACGGGTCAGCAGCCGAGTACCTTAGCCACTAGACCACCGCGGCTGGGCTACATGAAGGGGAGACAGAAGGTTAGGTGTGCCGATGAGATTAAAACGTTCGCAGGTATATCGTAACAGCAGAAAGCCCAAGACCAGCTTGATTGGCGTATCATAGGAGAGGCCTTTGCATTGCAGTGGGCGTAGTCAGGCAGATGATGATCATCATGGTGATGATGACACAAATTATAAACACCGTCACAGTCATACATTTTAAACTCCCAGACGCTTCGAGACAACAAACCATTCTTATTGGCAACGATATTGTGGGCGTTCCTACAGGGTAGAAAGAAGGCTTCATTATCAGTTTCACTATAACGATATCGTCCCATATAGACGCCTCCTTGTCTGTACTGTTTTTTGAGAAAGTAACTACAAAACGAGTGGGTTTTGTAGGGGCATTCTAATGTTTTTCGTGAATGGTCTCGTCGATTTGAGACCTGCGTCTGGGCGAACACTTATTCAAAGGGGTTAATGACATTTATATTGTAATAATTACTACGAGGAAATTTAACTCGCAGTTCCCGCCTCCTTACCACCGTGCCCATTTCAAGGTTTGTTTCACTTCTATTGCTGACGGGGACCCCATATTACACAAGCATAATCTAGAATAGGTCTCACATGCATCAGATAATGCGTTTGTTTCACGGTCTGTGAAGCTTGTTTAAAATTTATGCGTATAAAGTATAGCATGCTACATACCTTTGCCACAGTTATATGAATGTGTTTAATACACTTGAAATTGTCGGGAAAATAGGCTCCCAAATACTTCTAACGAAATTCATTGCTGATTATTGAATTACTTGATCTCGTACGGTGTGTCTAGTTTACAAATACGGTTAGTGAATGATACACAGCACCCCTGGCGGAAATGTTGTAGGCCCGTGTGCTCAGATTTGGGTGCACGTTAAAGAACCCCAGGTGGTCAAAATTTCTGGAGCCCTCCACTACGGCGTCTTTCATAATCATATGGTGGTTTTGGGACGTTAAACCCCACATATCAATCAATCAATCAATCAATCAATCAATGATACACAGCGCCCCACAGCGGTGGTTTATTGGCTAAGGTACTCAGCTGCTGACCCTCAAGTCGCGGGATCGAATTCCCCGGCTGCGGCGACTGCATTTTCGGTGGAGGCGAAAATGTTGTAAGCCCGTGTGCTCAGATTTGGGTGCGCGTTAGAGAACCTCAGGTGGTCGAAATTTCAGGAGCCATCCACTACGGCGTTTCTCATAATCATATGGTGGTTTTAGGACGTTAAACCCCACATATCAATCAGAATGATACACAACAACATTTCCGGACGTTTAGACTCATTTTCCACTTCTCACACCACGTTGACTTCCTGCACAAATCATTTTGCGAAATTTCAGCATCCTTGTACAATTTAATTTCTCTAAACACTACACAACCATCTGTGAATAACTTAACTGGATAGGAAATACCATCAACTATGCTGTTAATATAAATAAGGACAGGCGAAGGTCCTAATACGCTCCCTATAGTGATACTCCTGACATAACGGTTACCACGAATGACTTTGAGCCGTTAGGTACGCTCAGCTGTCGACCGTTTAAGTGGTCCTTTCTCCAAGTAATAGCTATAAGGTTTATGTTTGCAGAGAGAATTGTAAATTTTAACAGGTTGTGTGGGCCGGTATCGATGGCTTTACGGAAATCGATGCATCTGCATCTACTTGAGTGCTATACTGTCAAGGATTGCACAATGTAGTATCAAATTCGACTAGCTGAGTTAAACATGAACGTTTATTTCTGAAACCTTGCTGATATGGCGTGGAAAAGTTGACTGACTCCAGGCATTTAACTGTTTCACTGTATATGGTGTTCTCAAATAACTTACCATCAATTGCTGTAAGCGAGATGGGCCTTTAATTTTCAACGAGCTTTTTATCACCTGATTTATGAGCCGGGGTGATGTTCGCAACTTTCCAGTCGCGTGTAACAATTCCAGTATTAAGTGTAGTTTCATATATAACGCATACTTTACAATGATGCTGTGGCAGTTTTTAAAAACTAATGCTGATAGGCCGTACGGTCCAACTGCTTTCGATGTATCTATCTGCCGTAACAAGCAATCAGCACAAGTATTGTCAATCTCTACGTCTTTCTTGGAAGGTTGCACGACTGCACGAAGTTGATAGCATAAGGTTGCGTGAAATATATCATGCGTACGAGCGTGACCCCTAAGTCAGTCACGCCTGGGTCTTTTTACGCATGCGCTACACACGTTTTATCGACTTCAGTTTACTTTTTACATCAACCGTTTGTACGACATTGCGTCTTTTTTTACACTTTTTTTGTGGAAGC